ACAAATAGCAACGACAATGGGTAATTTTTAATTCAGAATAATGTTTATAGCATTACAAGATATATGCTTCACAGATTGAACAGTTAAAATATCTGCATTACTGTTTCTTGTTTCTCAAATAATAACCCTGAGCTCCCTAAAAAGATGAGTAAAAATATCCCTGTTCTTTCCCTTTTTAGAAGAACATTGCACAGTGATTTTAGAGAAAATGTCACAATTAATCCTAGAAAATATGCCAAAGGCTGAGTAAGTACTTTTGTGGTAATCAAGATTTTTGAAACCATGTGTAATATTCCCCTATTCTGCTAGAGCTGTTTGACCTTATATGGTAATATTCATCTGTACCTGCATCTGTCTTTGTGTGTGTGTGTGTGTGTGTGTGTGTGTGTGTGTGAATGTACAATCCATATATGATATAAGTATATTATATATGTAATTATTTGCAACTATGTATTCATCAATTTAGGTTATTAATGACAATGAAATAATAACACTAATGTTTTTGGTTATTATGCCATCTACATGAATTTTGTATTAATACTTTGTTTTTTTGTTTGTTTGTTTGTTTGTTTGTTTTTAGCTACTCCAGCTTATTCAATGATTTTGTTGAATCTGAGTTTTTCCTGATTGACGGAGACTCCCTACTTGTCACATGTGTATGTGAGAAGTCACTTCAGCCAGGACAGAGTCTCCATTTCTTCTACCTGGTTGAGCGCTACCTGATGGATATTATTAGCAAAGGAGGACAGTTTGCCATAGTTTTCTTCAAGGTAACACAGACCAGCTGAGTTTTCTTGTCTCTGAAGACTGAAACCAGAATTCATTAAAATAATTGACTAGGGACAAGGACTCTTATAGCAGAAGTGGCCTCGGACTCATGATCCCCTTGCCTCTGACTCCCAAGTGAAAGGATTTCAGGTGTGCACTACCACACCTGGCTATGACTAAGATGGTTTTTATAAAATTGTATAAAGATTTCACCTCTGACTGCAAAGTAAAATGCATTTTGAAAAGTTTAGAAGATGAGATGGAGGCTAAGGCACAGAGGATAGAAATTTGAAACCCATTGGAGCTCCCACAGTGAGTTGATGAGTAGTCTAGCCAACCTGGAAAGACCTTCTTAAAAGAAATAAAGATCTAGAAATGCAACTTAGCAGTAGAAGACTTGCCTAGTATATATATATGCAAGGCTGTGAGTTCAATCTCCAGGACAAAAAAAAAATACAAAACAAAACAAAACAAAAAAGCACAAAATAAATAAAATTTCAAGGGAAGAAGAGAAGAAAACAATTACCCAGCATTGCAGTGTTCAGGAATAAACACAATTAGATTATTTTGTAATGTGTAATGATAGAATTTTACTAGACAGAAAGAGTCACAAGAGTTGGTCAAATTCTCAACAGTGGCCCCTCTCCGACCTCAATTCTAGTCCTCTAACCCTGAGAACTACTCTGCCTTCAAAACTCAGCAGGCAGTTTATTTGAATACAGTGGTAGGTTTACCTGAGCCCACATGATCTCACTAACTCTATTTTGGTATTGTGTGCTCTGTTATAAATATCAATGAGAGAATACCATATTTGGTGCAATAAATAAAATTTTGACAATTTCAAATACAGGTATATGTACCTGCTACCATATCTTCCTGTTCCTAGACTCAGGGGAGCTAGCGCTCTACTTAGGGATTCTGGTGTGGATTTGTTCAATCAGTTTGCAACTCATGTTACTGTATATTTCTGAGCATTGATAGCCAGCAGAATTTTGTGCAAGCGGCCAGGGTTCTGCCCTATGTTTGCAATTTGTTGTACCAATTTTGGTCTACTGAGAAAAACATGTGCTATTTAAGAAATGTCAGTGCACTCTGGAATAATTCTCTAGAATAACATGTTCCCCTTCAGTTCCCAATTCCAGAAAATGTATAATTACAAATTACAATTTTCATATTTTTTTTTCTATTCTTTGTCTTTTTGAGGTGAGGTTGGACAGGAGAATGACTAGAAAATAGAAAGGCAAAGTGTGATGAACTCTGGGTACTATGGACCTGCTTATTCTTAGGTCCAAAAGTGTAATGAACTCTGGGTACTATGGACTTGCTTACTCTTAGGGTCCAAAGTATGATATATAGCATATATTTGTGATACAACAAAATTCCAGGGTCAATTTACTGACTAAAGGGCAGGAAAAACAAACAAACCAAAACCCTGCCATATTATGTTTCTTCAATGACCTTATTGATAGGTGTTAACTGCCTGAACTAATAAAATACTAAATGATACTTCTCAAATAATGTACTTTATCTCCTTCTCCAAAGGATGCTGAATATGCGTACTTCAATGTCCCTGAACTTCTCACCCTGAGAACTGCTTTAATTCTGCACCTTCAGAAGAATACCACCGTGGATGTTTGGACTGACTATTCTAGATGCTTGTCAGAAGAGTGGAATAATGTCTTGGGTCAGAGTTGCCCATATTTCTTGATTATTGCTGACGAAGGCTTGAACAACAAGCAGACACACCTTTTCAACTTCATAGTCATTCAGTCTTGGGCAGTGAAGGTCAACATCGTGCTCTTTTCAGGGCAGAGATCTGACATCCTCCGTCTTTATGCATATTTTATGCAAAGCTCACATTCAAAGCAGATGTTTTTCAAGATGGTAATGTATATCTAAGAGATGACGTTCTGAAATTTTATAAGCATTTCTAAAATGATTCATGAGCTAAGGCTCAGTGGTTAACTAAGAGTGCAGACTATTCTTGCACCCATATCTCAGGTAGTTCATAACTGCCCATAACTCCAACTCCAAGGGGATTTGACATCTCTGACTTCTATGTATACTGCACTTACATACACATACCTACATAGATACATACATAGATACAGACAGACAGACAGACACACATACATACTTACAAAACTAAAAATTAAGTAAATCTTTAAAAATAGCTATCTTGATCCAATATTGACTCTACCCACAATATAGAAACTATTATAGATTTAGTAGGATGATATATAGGTTAATAATAATGACAATAAATTAATAGTAATGACATATAGTAATTTGCTAAGGACTTCTTGTCATATAATAGTTCTTAACACTTATGAATTATTTATATTTAATATTCACAAAAGTCCTAAGAGCCAGGCATATATTTGAAAATGATGAAATCGATACTTGAATATGTAGCCTGTTCAAAAGCACTACCAAATGAGTAATATAAAAGAATGTAGAATTTATGCAAATTTATGAGTCTTGTTTCTTCTCAGGTGCTTGGTTGAAATGTATCATAGTAAAACACACTGAATCTATATTATTTGTAACTTTGTGAAACTGCTAAAATAACGTGCTAAATTGCCAGATGAGATAAACAAGTATTACCTTGCTTCCAAGGATTTCTAAACATTGCTGACCATCCTCAATTACATTAGTGTAGATTTTAAACTGAGGACTCTATTGCAATATGATTATTTCTTAAATTTCTGATATTTATAGCTGGGAAATAATTTTATTTATTGCAATTTATCATACTTTGTTTTGCAGTTTAAGAAGGAGATTATGATTGCTTATAAAACCCTGATTCGACAGTTGGAAAAATATAGAGACCGGGATTTAACAACTCTGTTTGGAGATTTAAAATTCAATAATATGGTGGAAAAGGTAACAGAACTTGAAAAAATGCTTTTTAGTTGAGCTATCTTTTTAAAAGTGTGTGTGTGTGTGTGTGTGTGTGTGTGTGTGTGTGTGTGTGTGTGTGTAGGTCAGAGTATACCTTGTATATCACTCCCAGTGTTTTACCTTCAGACCAGCAAGCTTCCAGGATTTCTCTGGTCTGATGGGCATTCCTACAGGCTTACTGTAGCAGTGGAGAGTGGGAGAGATACTAGCCATCTTCCCCCTGTTCCTGGTCTGAGTAGAAATGTCTCTATTTCCTCCTGTAAGTAGGACTAAGATGTAGATGTGTCTAGACTCTGATGTAAAGAAGATGACCCCAGCTTCTCCTACTGTTTATACCGTGAACGCAGAAGTGGAAGTAGACCTCAGTACTGTCACTTTCACCTTAGGTTCATTGTTGTTGTGTCGCAGTCACACGTTTTCTAAGGCCGCATGCCTGGTGTACATCTACTTCATCATGGCACACTGTTTTCTTAGTACAGTCTTGGTTCTGCTTGCTGTATTTCCTGTTGAATTTCTGCCTTGGTTGACATCCATGATACTGCAATTTAATTTTCAGTTTTTGTCTTGTCTTACGTGTATGTGTAAGGTCTTATGTGCTTCATAGAAAAGATCAGAATATTCACACTTTCTTTTTATTATTCTGAAATACTGTCTAGATCAGTGGGACCATGCAGTCTTTGAAAATTCGGTAGAATTCTCTGGTTGAAGAAGGTGCCTATTTGTTGAGATGGTTCCTTAGTCATTTCACCTACATCATGGATCTTGGTGTACTTAGGCCTACTAATACCAAGAGAATCAATTCTGTAATTTGTTCTGGGAAATTAGGAGTTTCACTCTTTCCAGTTCGTTTCCATAGAAGTTTCTAAAGTAGACCTTTGAAATGGTTTTCTGTCTCGGTGTTGTTCTCTCTTATTTTTATTTCATACACTTGTGCCTTCTCTTATTTGTTTAATGATGTTTATCTAATTCCAGCTTGAGTTTGCAACTATTAACAAGATATATGGACTTCTACTCTCTTAGTTTATGATTTCATCTTTTACTTTCTTTTGATTTTTCTTGTTTATTTTTATCTATTTTTTTTGAGCAGAGCATTTAATTGTTCTATTTTCTCACTTTTGGTATTAAACATTATTTAGTCTGATGTTTTTCTCTGAGCACTGCTTTCATTGCACGACATAGATTTTTACATACAGATAATAATCTTCATTGCATTCCATAGAATATTATATTTAATGATTTTATTATAATTTTAAAGAAATTGTATAACTTCAGTCTGCATTTCTTTTTTCACATGAATGACTTAATAGAAAATTAAAAGTTTCGACAGGAATGATAGGATGGTGCTTAAGAGCATTAGGTGCTCTTGCAGAGGACTTGGAATTTAGTCCTAGCACTCACATGGTGGTTCATAACCATCTATAACTCCAGTTATAGGGGATCCGATGTCTTACATCTGTGGGCACGAAGCATATATTAGGTACAATTGTATGTGCAGGCATATACTCACACCTTAATGTAATATGAATAAATCCAAAAAAAGAAAATTAAAAATTTCAAATTAAAAGATTACTTTTAAAAATAGCCTTTGCATATCTAGGGAAGATTCATTATTTCTTATGATTGTTGTAGTTCACTCTTTATTGATATCAGTCCTTTGTATTTCCCATAAGGTTGTGGGATCTCTTTGGTCTCTACAAAGTCTTGAGGTGCCACAAGTATGATAGGGAACTGGATATATTCTCCAGATGGAATATATTATTTCTCCCTTATACATTTCATCATTGTTGTTTCCTGGTACTACTATTTTCCTTTTTAACTGATGCAGAAGAGGAGATTTGGTGCAAAGTATCTATAAAAGTACCCAATACATTCAGAAAGTTGATTGCAATGATATGTGTTGCTTCTAGTCATGTGGATTAGCCACAAAATTATATATGCATATACTTTAAGAAAATACAAAATGGGGGCTGGACAGTTGGCTCAGTGATGCAGAGATCTTACTCTCTTGCATATATACATGTAGACAAAACCATTCATATTCATAAAATAATAAAAATATAGTATAAAGAGCATAAAATTTCTTGTGAGTAATCTAGTGCCTTGGTTAATATAGGAATGCGGGAGGATAATGTATCTCTAAATTTCATCAATAGAATTATAGTATTTAGATTCAAGAATGTGATGGTATTATTCTGAATACATTTCTTTATTATTATGTCTTACTTGCTTATATTGTCAACATTCAGAGGCAAGACTCACATATTTTGAATATATCCTTTAAGTGACATTATGTATTTTACAGTATTAATGGTATGTTAGATGCACACGCTTTTATTACTTTTCAAAATTGTTACATACATATTTTATGATTTCATTAAAATTCTAACATGTAATATTTTTATGGACATATGGTGTTTCTTGAATGCTAAACATTTAAATTGTTTGAAGATTCACTTTTACAAATCATTCTGTGATGAACACCTTGGTGTACATACATGTCTTCAGGCAGATTTTGGATTGTTCCTCTAGGTTAGGTCTCTAGAACTTGAATGAAAAAAAATCAACATATTGAATGTCAATTAAATGTGTTGTCATATGCCTTTGCTTGTTTATAACTTTATTAGCAGAGTGTAAGGAGTGACAAACCATGATTTCTGGTGCTGTCTGTTATTAAAGTAGTGAAAAATGAAAAAGTTCTTTGATAATCATGAAAGTTAAAAATGCAATTTTTATATTACTAAAGAATATAAGATGTTTTTTTTCATTATTTGAGTTTCATTGGAGAATTAGTATTAAAAGAGTCATGTATTTCCTTGTTGATTTACAGGTGTTATGTTTCATGCATGTATTTGTTAACAGTTTTTTGAAATAGTTTTACCACTCAACATTTTTGTTCATAATTTTCTTAAGCTGAAATAACCATATTCTATATGGTCATATCCACCCATTTCTTACTATATGATCACTTATGAATAAATATAGTTTCCTAATTATCCTGACGTTATAATTTTCTGCTGTGACAGGCTTGTGAGACTCTATCTCTGCTTAAGCAGCTCTGGCCAGAAGGATCTGACATCCGACGAGTCCTCTCTGTCACTTCGTGCTCCCTCTCCTTGGAAATGTACCACCGTTTTTTAGAAAACAGAGAGAAGAAAGCATCCAAGCAGACGGGCGAAGGCAAACAGGTGTAGTTGTTACACTGGGTTCCATTACTGCTTCTCTGTTTTATTGTTTTTCACCCACCATTTTCCCCGCTTGGCACTGGTATTTTCTTTTGTTTATATGAACTTTAGAAATAGGAAAATCCCTACAATTCATGTCATAAAGAAGTCTGTTGCTCCATGATGTAGTGTGTTACTTACAGGTGTTTCATGTAGGATATATTCAGCCCCTGTCACATACAGGCAGGCAAAAGGAGAAACCACCTA